TTTTTACAGCCTGCAACCTGTTTTTTACTGCTACAGACCTGTTTTTACAGCCTGCAACCTGTTTTTTACTGCTACAGACCTGTTTTTTACAGACTGCAACCTGTTTTTAACTGCTACTGCCTGTAACCTATTTTTTACTGCTACAGACCTGTTTCCTACAGCCTGCAACCTGTTTTTTACTGCTACAGACCTGTTTTCTATAGCCTGGAATCTGTTTTCTACCAAACGGCTAACAAAGGCTTAGTTTTGTAGCTGTCAGGATTTCTATTTTATTTTTTTTAATTTTTTGAAATTTTTTATCCATCACATTGAAGATGATAACGACAAGGCTATCACAAAGAGGATAATGTCTGAAAATAACAAAAGGTAACGATTGCGCAGGCGCGTCTGAAGACGTATCAGCTGTCTGACGACGACAATACCTAACGTAAAGCTTAGCTAAGATGATAATGATGGAGGTGACAACACACTCAAGGCGTAACAGCTCAGCCACCTAAAGACAAATTAAAGGATGCAATCACCTGGAAATGATTGGTAAGTTACTGAATTATTCCCATATGATGTAGCTTGTTGATAATGTCACTACAGAGACCTCACAATCTGTTTCTAATTGTGTTTTACATAACGATTATCTGGATAACCCTCAACACCACACACATGTTACTTCTATTTTAAATATCATTCTAATTTTATTTTGGATTTTCAGGTAGTTCCAGAGAACCCGTGCTGAACGTACAGGAGACCAGGATACGACGAGGTCAGGTACCACATGACACCTCATACAAGCACATTTGTTCAATAATTTGTAAATTTCTGAGTAATATGCCATACTCGTTTAAGCTGTGGTTCCTTCGAAGTGTACCTTGTAAGTTTGTATGGAGTCTTACATACACTTCGATTGACACATACTGGATAGTATAACTCACACACTCGGAATGCTTACTAGTTGGTGTCCAGCCTCGACTCATTTCGGGTAACATTAGTTGTTGAGGAACGAATGATACATATTTGTCAATTAATATAATGGAAACGTATGAAAGGATGACAAATGAACCCCGGCTGTTGTCGTGCTTTGTGATGACCCATGTATAAAGGTAACAATACCATTTGTTATCTCTCTCTCTCTCGTTCTAATATTAAACTAGTACCTATTTAATCTGAATTTTTAACAGCTTTAAGAAGCAGTCTTAATAAATGGTGTACACAAAGATTTTCTTTCTCATTCCATGCCTCTCCTCTAGGTACCTACATTCTTCAGACCACTTCAGAAGCAGCAGCAGTCTACAGGATGTTCTTAAAGAAGCGACATGACAACTCTTGAGATTTTAAAAGGTTTTTATATCTGTTGGTTTGTTCCTTAATACGTTCTCTGCCTGAACTTTTTTCAATATAATTTGCTATTTAAA